AGGTGAAGTCTCTTATAGACCAGCAACAGGCGCCCTTAGCACGAGTGCCAAGCTTGGAAGCAATAGAAATGTGGACTGACTCTAACGATGAAGAGCTCTAGCTCTGGATTATTACTAGAGTGGGTTTTTTTTCACTCAGGGACTCAAGTTTTGTTGCTGGCAGACTCCCTGAAAGGAAATAACAGAACAGTACTCAGGTATAACATTAGTGCAGTCAAGCAGTTCTTTTGCATGCAACGGTAGTGCTTGTATTCTCTCCAGACCTCAAAAGCAAGCTGATCGTTTCTTTCACTGCATGTGCTTACACTATTCACGGTGACATGAAAGTGAAATTTTGAGCACAGTTTGCAGCAGTATGAGTTAGATAGGGGTGAACATTGCGTGTGTATTTAAACCAAACTATATTAATTTAGTGACCTTCAAAATGGCACAGACTAAATATATTAGGAAAAGGCAGGAAAAAAGAATAAACTTACTGGAAACCCCATGCAGGATGGGAGATTCGCAGGAATGGCTGATGCTGAAACAGGGAGTGATTGAATAGGAAACGAAGCTTTGCCTTTATTAGCTTTTAATAGCACAGCATGCTTCTCTTAAATGACGTTTTGAAAGGCATCACAAAAACTTGCTTTCAAAATGGAAGAAGTATTGTAACAGCTTACTGTATGAACTGAAAACATTTACTAGACAGTCTGGTTCACTGAAGGAACTTCAAACAGCTAACAAAATTGTTTCAGCAAATACAGCAAGAGATTATATTGCTTGAGAACTCCTGCCACAATGTGAGAGGAGAAAACACTCCCATGCTCTCTGATGCTTCTGACAAACACAGTTGTTGCTTTAAGACTTTGATAACAAAACAGAGATTATTGGACATGTATACTCATAGAATCATAGAATCATAGAATGGTTAGGGCTGGAAGGGACCTTCAAAGGTCATCTAGTCCAACCCCCCTGCAAGGAACAGGGATATCTCCTACTAGATCAGGTTGCTCAGGGCCTTGTCCAACCTGGCCTTGAACGTCTCCAGGGATGGAGCATCCGCCACCTCTCTGGGCAACCTGTTCCAGTGTAAAATGGAAATCCTGTTCATATATAGAAAGCCATACCACAGGAAAACAGTTCAGAATTAAGGAGCTGGGAATCGTGTTTATAAACTATGTTTATGCTTAGATCTTCTGAACACAGAAGATCACTGGAAAAAAATGCAAGTTTGATTGCTTTTTTCTTTTTTAGATAAAAGGATGTTTGGAAGCTCTGAGACTTGGTTAACAATTATGACTTGGTATTCAGGGCATACTGGAATGAACAAAGTTGCCAAAATTTCCAGGAACAACTAAAACTGTAATTTTGTGTACTATATAAGCCATTGTTATTGAAAGAAACTGTCTTAAATCCCTCCCCTCCATTCCATTCCGCCATCAAAACTGTTTGACATCAGGAAACTGGTCTGGGATCACACCACCCGGCGAAAAGAAAAAGTCTTTTCACTTAATAGGAAAGTGAAAAAACAAAAAAAAGAAAAGCCTGTTTTCACTTGACTTGTAAATCTGTGCCATAAGGTCTGCCATCTCTTTTTGGCTTTAAAGAATTACTGTAGATCTGCAGACCGTTTATGTGAGTAACAAACCTATACCGAGATGTAGCTATTGGAATTAAATACTTAGCTTTTCTCCTTCTTCCTGCCCCAACCCTCTAAGTAATTTTGGAAGTGAAATATAAGGATGTAAGACAAATTGTAATTAATGAACATGAGGAAAAAACCAGGGTTTAGGGCATGTTCATGCTGTTGTTCCCTGTCTCCATGAAGCAGTCGTCTTTGGCAAATGCCAGATACACGGAAATAGCCTTGTTAAACTGGGCTTGTTAAGTATCTGCTCAAGGCTGGAAGTTTCCATTTCTGCAAGAAAGACATACCTGTAGCGTTGAAGATGCTTCTGAGTCTGGTACTGCAGCTCGCGCTGGGCGGCACACCGGCACGCCGCGGGTTTGGCCGTTAGGGAGGTGCGGCTGCGACGCTGGGCTCCGGTTTTCAGCGAGACATGTCACTTGATTACCTTGGCAGATAAAATGGACCGGTATTCCATGATTTCAAGACACTCTTAGGGACAGTTCGGTGAGAAGATTGCATTTTCTTCTTAGACTCCTGTAGAGCATATAGTGTTACCCTGCTTCCTGCTTTGGGTCTTCCGTTGGACTGTTGCCTTGCTGATACTGCAGCTGCTGCAGCGATATCCTCATCCGCTGCGAGGCTTCGTGCCGGGCCATTAATGGATGTTATCTGTGTTGTTGTACTGTCATGTAGTGCTGGGCTACAGACTGCTTCTTCCAAAGCCAAAAAGATGTGGAGATGCAAAATCTGCATCCTGAGAAAGCACCTGATTTTTCAGCTCACCTGGAAAATTTCCTCTCTCGTTTACCACAGCATGGGGGGGGGGGCGCAACATACAGTTACAGTTTCTGGTACTGCAAGAAGGCAGGCAGGGTCGGGATGTCCCGGCTCATTTCCAGGTTCATGCAGCTAGAAAAGACTCCAATTGAAGCCCCACAGTTGCCAGGTCAGAACAGCTTTGAACATGCTGAGAACAGGCTGTCATGGATGAAAAATCCTTGCTGTTTCCTTCGCAAGAGCAGCCTCCTTGGGAGAGTGCATTTCCAGACAAACAAAGGCCACGTGAGCAACAAGGATTGTTTGTTCAAAACTGCAAGGCAGCTCCTCTGTGGGACAGAGACTAAATCTGCAGTGTGTCTTTAAGGCTTGCCAAACTGCAGGCTGGAGTAGAGATGATGATGCAGTGTAAATTCCATAAAGAGTGCAACGCATACAGCATTTGTGGTGGGAACAGTGTGCGGAAGCAATGGACAGGATGCAGTGGACTGACCTCTAATTGATAACGTGAGGATTGTTATTCGCTCTTTCTTGCCCCTACCTCATCACAAAGACGTGAGGCATCTGAGCATTGCCAAACCATTTGCTAATGAAGGTTAATATCTGTATGGGATACAGATACTGGCCCTATATATTTCTGTTCTGGGAAAACAAAACACAAGCACTGAAGATAAAGCTCTAATGCATTTTTTATTAACATGATCCATCTTCTAGAAGTTGCAGGGACCCTTTTTCTATATGCACTCTGCAGATTGCTGACCAATAAATGGCTCTGCATACTGCTCTCCAGGAATTTTAAGACTCATTGCACAGTAGATGTTGGCATCCCAACCTGTTCTTCCTAAGAATGGACAGCAATGAATGCAGTGAATTTCTCTTTAGAATTGCCATGTGTTGGCATGTGACTTCAAATGCACAAGTGGCTACATACCTCTTACAGAAGAGAAAATTAAAAAATAGGAAAATATTTACCAGCCCCAAAGCACTGCCTCTCCAGACACAGATAATTCCCCGTGTCACCTGTGTATACACTGTTTGTCAAAGTAAATTACATGCATTTGCTGGTGCTTTGTCACTTGAACTATTAATGCCATCTTCAGTGCATATCCCAGACAGAAACCTAAGTCTAAAAAAAGTAGGGAGTGCAGCAGAGCTGGAGCAGAAGCAGCATGCTGTCCAGGTGCATTGGTGCATGCCACTGGGAAGAGAGAGCGAGACTCATAGCGTCAGGGCAAGTGACTCGACCACGGGAATCGCTCTGTGCATGAAGAGCAGTCTCCAGAGAGAGGCAGGACGTTCGCTTCCACCGGAGTATCCTCCAGCACTGCTCCATGGGGGAGAAACTCATATTCCCATGAGCATCAGACAAGACTGGGGTAAGGCATGGTAGCAGTCTTAAGACACATTTTGAAGAGCTGCTACAAAGCTAAAGGAATAATCAGTTTACTATATAGATTTGAGAAGAACTGAAAAAAAAAAAGGAATGGATGTTCAGAAGGCAAGGCTTTCAGTAGCAAGGACAGTGGGAAGGACCTCCAGTCCTAAGTAGGAGTTGATTCTGCTTTGCTGCAGAGGAACAACCTACGTGATCTCAATGCCTTCCTCAAGTCTGCAAAGTAGAGACAATTAGAAAATATGTCCTGCTGTGATGGCCATACTACAAAAAGTGTGTTTGTGAGTTGCAGGGCATTTGAAGAATTGCAGTCATTATTTAGCCCCAGATTATTTGCTATGTAAAGTGAGAATAATACATTTCCATCTTTTTTTTTTTTTTTAATGTAGGAGCGGATGCGTTTTTGCAAACTCTAAAAACTAGTGCCTGAAGGAAAGATTTCTCGTTGCAGATGGGTGTAGCACTGTGTTTTAGTCTCCAGCTGGCCTGGTAAACACATTGGGAAAAAAGGGCCATTTCTGCTCTGTGTTCATCTTCTCACATACCTGTCTCACATCCGAGCTGAATGGTGCAAAGGTGGCCTACTGTGTTACCAAGCAGCACTGCAACAGTAATGTCTCAAAACGCGTCCTCTGCGTTGGTCAAGTCCAGGTCAAGTTTTGCTTCTGTTCTTCTCAGGTCTGTGACTAGCTGCTCCTTCCAACACACATTGAGGATGTTTGCCAGTTTAGTCGCGGGGCCGTATTGCAAAGTAACGTTCATCCTCTGTATGAGGAGTACTTTTCCATCACTACTTTTCCATCACTACTACAAAATTCCGCATTAGTATAGCATTTTAGTTTTGCCGTCTCCCTGATTTCTTATAGCATCCCGTATCCAGTGACCCTTACTTAGGAAAAAACAGGAAACGGTTTAAAATTGTGAGAAGAGTCTCTGAGGCCAATGCCAAGATGACCACAGCAGAGGATGGTTTGCATCAGTCACAGTTAGTCCTCTGAAGATAATAGCAGCCAGTCCACCCACCTCGTTAGTGAGAAGAGTGTTGGTGTGGCCTGTGGAGCAGCTCAGCTTCCAGCAGTGTCCTTTTATGAGGGTCAGCGTCACAGTGCTGTGCTGTGATTTGTGTGGTAATGGCTTCTGAAGCACTTCTTATGTGAAAGCGCTTGAGGGACTAAGGAGGTACAGTGTAGTGGAAAATGCAGAGGAATATTCTTTTCTATGGCTGAAATTATTTGTGCTTTTTCACGTTTTTTTCCTGCAGACATTGCAATCCTGGGAATGGATATCGACGTTCAAACCATAGAGGACAACGTCATCAGCTTGGAGATGCTGTTCAAAGCATGGCTACATGACTATGGCACAGAGAGAGAACACCTCCATCTCCTCCTTCCGTCAGGATGCTTCAGCCATGCCACTGCACCCAAGACCACACAAAGTATTTCATTTTCTCTCCCCCTCTGCAATCTCACAGCCTTAAAGATTACCTAAGCCAGTCCCGTGGGCGTGTTCCCCTCACATTTAGAGATCCAAGTAAGGTCTCTGGGTGACTTTGAAAGCTGTCTGGAGTTTCTGTTCTCTCAGGCTGAGAGGAGCCATTTGCGTAGAATACTTCTAGGTTGCTGCCATGTCCTGGGGCTGCTGAGGCTGTAAGTCATTTCCATTCTGCAGCAAAAATGTGCCTTGAAGAATATGTGAATTTATAGCCACCTGGTCAAGGTAAAAGGGGCCTTACATACTGAGAGCCAGGGACCTTCTGGCTCAGTTGTATAGCCCCGAAAATTGTGTTCCTTGTGTTTGATACTAGAAGTCTGTGCCAGAGCTGGGCTTAAATAAAGGCTGTCTTACAAAGAGACTTGGCTTGTATTTATATCTATTGCGTTAGCACTAAAATACCTAATGTTCCAGCTGGAGCTGCCAACAGTTATAATAATGCATGGGAAAATTTATAAGGAATATGTGATTTTTTTTCCTCTGCTAGCCTAAGTTCAAATCCCTAATCCATCCTTGGGCGAGCACTGAAAGCACCAACAGCTACAGCAGACGTAGGTGTTTCCTGTAAGTTGTTATTGACTGTATTGTCACCGTCACACTGCCATGGGAATCTGCACATGCAGTTCTGGCAATCCCCTTTCCAGTGCCTCTCCAGTATGGTACTATACGCCACTCCAGCATGGTACTCACGTGCAGCTTCCCATTGCCATTGCAGCAGAAGCACACTTGTTTTCTTCTGGTGATCCACAGGCCAGTTCCAGACTGGAAGCAAAGCTCAAGGAGCGCTGCTAGTGGCTTTTGCAGATACGCTCCACAGCAAGCAATGAGAAAGCCTGGTGTGACTTTATATTTCTGTAGTAGCTACCGTAACAGCCCCCAGACCAGCACAGGCGATGACGACATTTTGTTAAAGGCAGATTTTCCTTTACCGTAGCATTGAATTTCATCCTTTATGCATTGTCTTATTACAGCTGGCAAGGCAAACCACGTTACACTGCAGTCAGGTTTTTTTGCCTTCGCACACTCTGCAGAAGGCAAGAGGGATTGCATGTCATACCAGAGTTAGTGTCATCAGTGTGCTGAGTTTCTCCACAAGCACGGATAGAAAAGCTGGCAGGAACCGCATGGCCCTGAACCCGGTGTGGCACTGGGAAACGAGCTGCTGCTGCTGCTCTACAGCTGGCCACTCGTTGCCAAAACTGAACTCGCCTGCCCGGTTACCAACCTGTCATTGTTTCAGTACCGTGCCGAGCACACCATGTTTCCCCTCGTGTGAAATGGGGATAGCTTGCTGTCTCGTGCCACAGGCTTTAGCCTTGTTCTTCCCTTACTAGTGGCTGTCACTAGAAAACATGAACTTGGTGTTCGTAAGTGCTTTGAGCATGTCACATGCTAAACATTGCCATTTCCAGCAACCTAAACCAATCTCCTTCACCTAGTGTGCCTGAAGTGCGATTTGCAAGAGAGGCTGCTCGACCCAGCTCTGCTTTCTGGGGTGGCTGATGGCACTACGAGACCAGCCGATTTGAGTTCACCCTGCCAGATGGCAGCCTGGCCAGCTACCGTGCTGCACAAACTCCAGGTTGTAAAGTAAGTGTTGTTACGTGCTTTGGACGTGGCAACTGGAAGGCTGGTATAAGAGCAGCCTCTGCTCGCTCTTTCTGTGCAATTTCAACTAGGACCCAATAACATCACTGTAAAGCACTGGGGGACTCCAAACGTTAGTGAGCAAAATTCTGACGTCAGATACCCTCAAACCTTGTAATTCTGAGTGTTACAGAACAGCATGTCCCACGTATGTGTACCAGAGTGCAGAGCCAAACACAGCGTTACCGTGACACTAGCACTTTGCGCGTGTAACACCATTGTTTCCCTGCCATGTGAAGTTCTGTAGATTGCAGCCATTGCTCCATGCATAATTCTGCTGTTCCCTCACTACCCAGTGAGGCCATAGCAATTAACTGGATGTCAGAGCCTGAGCTAACTAGTTGACTAGTAGTAAAAAAGCAAGCAAAGCCTCATAGTGCTGTGTGACTTCACGTGAGAATTTATTTGCTTTCCCATGAGCAGTCTATTGGTGAGCACAGAGCAGAACAAGAAGTGTCTTTTCTGAGGTTTATTTATAAGGAAAATGTTGTGTAATTTCTGAACTATGCAGATGTTCTTAAAATTATTCTCACCCAGTCAGTAGCTGAAGAGCACGCAGTAATTCTGCATAAATGGTCCACAGGCAAAGCACTGAAGCTACTTAATAATGCCCTGCCATGAAGCAGAAGTGTGCTATGGACCAGTGACGTCAAGCACTGTAAAGTCTGTAGTGGTGGTTGTGGTGGGATGTTGGCTCTGCGTAGTAGAGCACGTGTCAGTTTAAGTGAAGGATAACCACGATCCAGTAAAAATCACTTAGGAAGAGATGTAACTGCCTGGGTGAGTTGCTGCCCGAGAGGCCAGATTAACAATCCGTTTTGTTTACAAAACGCACGAAGCTTGGGTTTGCTGCTGGGCATGCTCCTGTCAGCGCAGATACAAGGGAATCTGGAAATGGGCACAAAAGCCTCTTTTCACTGCAATTGGACTTTTCTGCACGGTTTCATAGCGCTAGGCCCCAGCAATACAGACACGCAGTGCTTGTCGCAGCGCTGCAGCTGGCACTGCCACAGCCGCCTGAGCTGGTCATCTCCTGGCAGAGCCTTCTTGGTGATTTCGTGTTGGCTGCGCTTTGCTAACGTGAGCTGTGTATTTGCAGGGCTCTGAAGTCTGACGGGGTCTGTGAGTCCGTACTGTATGGCCTGCCCTTCATCATCAAGCCCACAAGTTGCTGGCAGCTCGACTGGGATGAACTGGAGATAAACCAGCACAGCTTCCATGCTCTATGTCTTAGTCTCCTGGTGAGTGTGTGAAATCGCAGCCTCATGGAGAGGGACTACCATAGAAAGGAATAGTTAGTACACATCTAGTAAGATCTGTCTAGCCTGCACCACAAAACATGTTTCAAAAGCTGCAGCTTCATCTTATGGGCGAGAGTCGGGCTTGTAAATCCTTCCAGCCGATGCAGCCACTGGAAAAATGCTACAGTGCATTAAGCCTTAGAGAAACTCTCTAGTCTATGGGAAATCCAGTGTTGGGAGGTAGGAAGTGCAAAAGTCGGGGTTGGAGTTAGACGTGCATCTTTAACTGTGAAAATAATTAACCAAGGTTTGGGATGTGGAGGACTTCTCTGTCTAGGAACTCGTCAGTTCCTACTGGCAAGTTGCAAAGCAAAATTGTGGTTTTTTCTTAAGCATAGTCTTGCGTTCAATTAAAAAAAAATAACCAAACAACATATCCTCAGCCATAATGTAAGTGTTTTTATTCTGATGCGTATGAATGTCTCTGCTCCTAACCCAGCAGCCCCTACAGTGAAAGTGCTGAAGAAAGTGGCTGTTGCCCATTGTTCACATCGGTTTTGGCTTTTGCCATTTAGAAAAGGAAGTGGATGCTTTTGGCCAAACGTGAGCCGCAGAACACTGGTCCAAACTGGAACGTCGTGGTGCATCCTTACTACATCATTATCCCTTCCGACTCTGCCACTCTGCTTGTCAAAGCAGTCGCCATGAGAGAGCTCTTGCTGCCGTCAACCTTCCCACCCCTCCTTGCTGAACATCCTGAGAGAGTGCATGGCCCTATAGAGGTGAGTCACTGACAGCCCTGCACAAGCTTCTGTGGAAAGGATCCTGGCTGCTGTACAAGGGATCAGGGTAATGATCAGCCTTTATGCACAGGACATGTAGCTGCTGCTGAAGATGTATCTGTCTCCCTCATAGCTGGGGAACAGAGATCTCCTCAGACTGCAGAGAAGTGCTTTAGGCATAAGATAAATCAGTACATAAAGTGTCTCTCTTTCTCCCAGTAGATTCAGGCTTCTGCATTTCCTATTGTGCATCCGTATGTTCTTTTCCTCACTTGTCTGCCCGCTGCTTCAGGTGATGCCAGGAAGGGTAGAACTCTCACTGCAGGTCTTAGCAGATGACTAGAGGAGGAAACAGCTGTGAAAATATCTAGTGACAGCTGGAAAATGATGGAGCACTCCAAAACTTCTTCCCAGCAGCCAATATATCCTACAGCTTTCTTCACAGACAGCAAAGGCCTATCCTTTGGAGCAATGCTGTATGTCTCTTGGGAGGAGGGAGGAGGCCTTACGAAGCAGAGAGTTGAGGGTGATGGTGCCCAGAAGGGATGCTGCAGCTTGGTGGCTGATTCTGGGCACAGGAGAGGATAGGGCTGCATTCTGCAAGGGAATGCTTAAATCCATTAAGACCCGGTTGCAGATGCCTCTTGTTCTATACAGAGCTAAGTGTGGGCCTTGTGGGTAACAGCACAGCCAGAGATCCCTTCTCCCATCACTGCAGGGTGGCATGGAGTGTCTGTCACACTCATCCCTGCAAAAAAGGCCCTTGACACTAAAACAACAACAAAAAACCAAAGCCTTTACCTCTCACATCTCACAGCCACTACTTCCTTCTGTTTGAGCAGAGCGCCCTGAACAGCTTGGAAGTGGAAGTTGCTTATAACCCCCTGCATCTCAAAAGCAACCTCTACAAACACCTGAAGAGCACGTTGCACAAACCTCTGCAGCGGCAGCAGCCCCAGCCCAGGGACCAGCGAGCAGAGCGGCACCAACCCAAGCAGGTACGTCACTAGCCTAGGTGGGCTCTCTCCTGTGCTTCTGGTCCGCTTCCTGCGGAAGGGCTGAGGGCAGCGCCCCGGTACCCGAGCAGTACAGGAAAGGCAGCACGTGGCAGAGGCAACGGTCACTTGCAGCTGGCAGAGCAGAGGGATGGGCGCAGCACAAGCTCACACAGCTGCGGAAAGGGATGCTGAGCAGCTGGCACACGCAGACACAGTCGGACAGCGCGCTGTTGGACGAGCCAGTGCCTCATTCCACAAGGTTCACTCCTATTTTGTCCTTGTATTGCAGCATCAGAGCAGAGCCAGAGCCACGGTGGCACCTCTCCTGATGGCTCCTTCTCCTGTCCAAGCGTTCAGACCAGCAGCGACGAGGAGAGAGTCCTGTGAGCGCTCGCTGCTCCCCAAGGAGTACGACGAGTTCCTGCAGTGAGCGCCGGGGCACCACGACAAAACCACCACGAGTTCGCTTCTTGCTCAGCTGCCAAGCCTTACGCACTGGGCTGGAAGTGGTCAGGGAAGACATTTAGGTTGCCCTTGGTCAGACAGGCACTTCCCATTGTTTGTTCCTCCTTGTTCTACGGTTTTGCCAGTCACCAAGTCGGTCTGCAGGAAGCCTGCTACTCCAGAGCCCTCTGTCCGGAGATTCGGCTATTCCCCGCAACACCACGCATTCCCTGTGCTTGTCAGCACACATCACCAGTGCCTCAAATTCTGGTTTCTGAGGCCGGGCCAGGCCACAAACCACAGATCGCTGCCAGCAGGTGCAGAAAAGCTGCAAGCAGGGCGGTGAGAAAGTTAAAGCAGGTGGCATGTCGGGCTGCCCTCACCCTGCAGGAGAGGGTTCCGCAGGGTCTGAACTGGCACAAACCAGCCCTCAGATGAGCTTAATCTCAAAGCCGAGAACGCTGCTCTCCTGGGAGTGGCACTACCCGCGATGATGCTGAGTTGCTTCTACAGCTGGTCTCGCTGTCCAGCTCCCCAGCTAACGAAGGGGTTTGTGGCAAGTGCCAAGCCAGCGGTAATGCCCTGGCTGGCTCCTACGCAGTGACAGCGCGGCACAGCTGGAGCTGCAGCACAGCACCATTCTCCCCACCAGGTGCTCCTTGGGATGCTCTCCTCCTCATGGCCTCTCTGTGCCTGTGGGTTGTTCTGCGAGCCGGCACGGCAAGTACTTCTTGGCAGGGTTCAGATGATGGGGGCAGTTGGCCTGGAGCTTTCCAGAGAGCTCCTGCCCGGTGCTCGCACGGGTGCTGGCCTGTTTTTCAGTGCAGAGACACAACAGCCGCACCTGGCAGGGCAGGAGCATGGGTCAGCTTGACTGAGCCAAGGTGGGGTGGTCTCACTGGGGTTCCTGGCTGCGCCAGCATGGGTGTGTGTTCTACTTACTTTGTTCTGACAAGCTGTTTCAAAATAAAGTTATCCACCACAATGTTCACTTCCCGCCTGTCGTTTATAACGCGCACTGTACGCAGCAGTCTCAGCGCTGACCCGTACTGCGTGAGAAACAGCTGCGGTCGACCAAGGGCACAATGTAGTCACCGTGCTCCCGGGGGCACTGCTACAGCAGGAGCACAGAGCCATCTCTTTTCCCTGGGATCCTGGCTCAGTAACAGGCCCTGCTGCGCAGCCAGGGCATGGACCTGCTCTTGCCATGCCTGGCATGGGCCTGGCAAGAGGCTGCAGCTCAAGGCGCC